GAAGGAGATGGACTCATCATGTGTCTGTCATTTGCTGGTTCACTTGCCCGCTTTCCTCGCTAGGCCGGTCCACCAGTACACTGTTGTGGTTGATGAACAGTGCGAAGTCACCTTCGACTGTGAAAGCCGACTGAAGATTTAAACGACGCATTTTCTCTCTGCTGTTCTAAGTACCCTGAAAAACTTTAGTTCCTATGGATTAATTAGTTTGCACGTTTCGTTCCACAAAACCACCCCACCCCGACCACCCCTCAAACCCCGGGCAGAAAAAAAGAAAAGCTAAATAATAAAAGCTTAATTCAATATTTCTAGATTTGTTAGTTTGAACTATGATTATCTACTTTCTTTACTGAAGCTTATATAATACCATACCTATTTTGATTTTGATTATGGTTAGTTTACACTTTTCCATGTGTATATAATGAAGCTTGTGAATTTTGCTTGGGGTATTGATAATCTTTCATAAACCGGGCTTTTTTGAACTTGCTATGCAGCTTTTCATAAACAGCTAGCTACGAAGGAAGTAACTTTTGATTTTTTTGGCAGATCAGGGATTTTGTATTTGAAACGAATACCTGTAAAAATCTCAAAAGCTAATTTTCATAACAATCAAAAAGTTGTCTAAATAAGTGGGTTTTGCTGATTTAAACGCTTGCTTAGAGTATATTGAAGCAGTGTATTTGAATGCTGGCAAGGTACCCTTGAACAATTTCAAAAACTTCTATAGGATTTGCTGAATGGAGCAGTTCAGCACTCAAAAAATGTACATATCCCCTGCAGATATAAGTTGCAGCATCTTTCTTTCACCTGCAAAGTTCTAATCCATTGGTTCATTATTGCTTTCTTCGGACCTGACAATAGTTTTGAGCTGTAAAATTTAACAGTAAAGTCATTTCTCTGCTGGTTCAGTTCTAGATGTTGATCATGGAGTTCTAGTGGACATTTGAAGTCGTGATCTCCATTTGGATATGTTTCTGAAAACAGTTTTCTGTTTTTGGAAATAGAAAACCGATCTGGTGGGCTGTTTTCTAAAACTGAAAGTCTTAGAAAATAACTACAAGTTTGTTTCAGAATTCAAGATCTCTATGTTCTCTTTAAGAATAAAAGTTATACGAGAAACATAAAATTTTGGAGATATTCAATATTTTCTGTTTTTGGAAACACAGGAAATGAAAATTGAGAACAGAAAACAGATAACAAAATATGAAAGTGCTCGTTCCGAAGCTCAAAAAAGGGTAGGGGGAAAAAAAAGAAAGAAAGAAAAAAGAATTCGTGTGCTTACATCTGTTTGTGTCATATTGCAACGACACATGATCAAGTGGATGTGGACACATGTACCATTTTCTCTTCTGTTCATGTTCTTGTACTACTAGAATATTGTCGACTGTTCATTGTCCCCTTGTCTAACGTTGCACTAAGATGTTTGATTACCACTTTTATGCACTCATGGATCATGGGTTGACTGAGAAGAGAGAGTGATCAACTTATTGAAAGTTTTTATTCCGGATCCGGGTTACCCTTTATTTTTTGAAGGAATAGCTGAGTCATTTATCGTTTGTTTAGCTAGAATTTGGTATGTTTGGCATTTGAGGCTCTGGGACTTGCAGGTTTGTTTTTAAGTTATAGAGAGTATACAAGAATTAAAAACAAAAAAATCAAATTTCAGGATTTTGCATTGACTAAATTTAAGGCTCAAAATTTTAGAAGTTGCTAGAAAAAAATTTAGGCTCAAAAGTCAAACCCACTTGAAAGTGTCTATGTCCATTCTAGAACTTTCTTCTGTGCTTCAAATCGTAGCACTAAATCAAAGTAGAACTTTTCCAATCAAATGCTTTTGTTTTTGACCTTCTTCTTATTTATTTATTTTTTAAAATTTTTCTGTCTTGATGAATTTTCTTCCACATTTATTCTATTGATATAGTCAAAGTTGCATATTTTTTTGATCCACTCTTATTTTTCATATTTGAATTATTAATTATTATTAATCAAGGAAGTTGAGGGTTCCTTCGAATAGGAAGGGTGGCACATAGTGCCCTTTAATTTTATTAGAAAGGCTTTTTTATTTTTTAATATTGAAATGTTTATATTTTAATTAATTTAATTAATTAATAATTTTAATATTTATTAAATTAATATTAAATATTTATATTGACTCCAATTAAAGTGGTTGATGTAATAAGTTAGAATTTGACATTATATATCTCCAAGCAGAAGCCATCACTCCCATGTGAGAGAGGTCCACAAGTCTTTAGTGTTACCTGTGCACTTAGTGGACGTTGGACTTTTTCGTAAATGCGTGTGGCAACACCGCGGACGAAGGCAATACAGGTGACATGAAAATGACAACTAGCTCATGAATGGAACCCACCACCAACTCTCCGTACGCTTCCCCTTTCTCTATATTCCAACGTCGCTTCATTGATTCAACAACCAGTGTTCCCTGTAAAGGCAATCCAGGGATGTGCTCTGTTTGTACGTCCTGAATTTGCTGCATCTCAAATCTGTCTTATCATTAACAAGGAGTGTTAATCGAATCAAATCTAATAAATTGAATTAAGTGTTAGATTGGTTTGATTTTATAAATCTAATAAATTGAATTAAACTTTAATTTAGTTTGATTTTATATATATCATAATTTAGTTTAATTTTGTTTAACTTACATTTTTTTCACAATTTAATTTGTAATTTAATTATTAAATTTAATTAGATAAATCAAATAAAATTAAATTACAAATTATTTTTGAATTTGTAGTTTAGTATTTCAATTTTTTTGTTTTTGTTTTATTTCTTTCGCTTTCTATATTCTATCATTTCAGTACGTGCGAATCTGTCTATCTTTTTTTCAAGAAGAACTGCACCCCAATATTCATTGCTAGCATCTGTCTGAAAGATGCGTTGTCCATCTGTTGGAATTTGAAGTTGAGGCAACGAGGGAACAAGTTTCTTGATTTGTCTGATTGCTTTGATTTGGATCGAAGACCAATGAGGGGATTCTTTTTTAAGAAGAAGCTGGAGGGGATGAACGATTTCTACGAGGTTTTGAATGAAATTTGCTGCATAATTCAGGATTCCAATGAATTGTTGGACTTGTAATTTGGTGAGATTTTCTTCTGTGAATTCAAGGAGGGTTTGTGCTATGTGAGGCTGGAGACTTTTTCTCTTTTTCTTTTTTATTCCTAATTTATGAAATTTTCTTGACATTCATTTTTTTAATTATCAAACTTAATTAATGTTATTGTAAATATACAATTATATAAAAATGAAAGATTTAGTAGAAAATTTAGTAGATTTAATTTATAAATCGTAATTTCAAACTGAATCAAACTGTGAATTGTAATTTGGTTTGATTGAATTTGATTTTTGAAGGTTCATTAGTTGATTTAATTTTTAAAAATTACAAATGATAAGATATGATTTAACTTAGAGTTAAGCCTCAAATCGAACTCAATCAAATCACAAACACCTTTATTATAAATGACCCATATAAACCGTAGTTAAGATAGTCAGATGTATATATGAATTTTTCTTTTCTCATTATATATAATAAAAATAGTAAAATAATTAAATATTTCTATTATTATTAAATAATATGTAAATAATGAATTACAAGTTAGATCAAATTGAACATATCTCAAGTTCATCTCATCATATGTCCGAGTTGAAATGAAACATCTCATGGGGTCGTGAACGATGACATGCCTTTGACATGTACATCTCGTTTCTTTTACTTAGGAGAACATGTACAGTTAATTTGAATGATAAAACGAGATTTGTATTAGAAAATCACTTAAAATTGATTATGGTTACTTAGTGACCATCAATTGGAGCGGCATCTATATACACACAAAAGACACAAAATTGAAAATCCAACCTTGCTTTCTAGTGACCCCCAACCACCGCCACTGCTTCTCTTGCCGGCGTAATATTCCCGTGCACCTCCCGCCCAAACCCACTTATGAACCGGCTCACAATCATCTTCCTGGCGCTGCAACTAGCTCCTCCCACGCTGAGCCGGCGTTTAGTTTGCAATTTAATCACTAAATTTAATTTGTAATTTAATTACTAAATTGATCTCCATAAATTGAATTAAATTGTAAAATATGTTTAAATTTGTAATTTAGTCATTCATTTTTTTTTCCTTTTTTCTAGTCCTTCAATTTTCTTCTATTTTTATTTTATTTTCTGTGCTTTTTGTATTCCATCATTGTGGTCCACATATTCTTTCTCTTTTTCTTTTTTTTTCCTAATTTATTAAATTTCTAAACGTTCATTATTTTTAATTATTAAATTTAGTTAATTCTACTATAGATATACAATTATATAAAAGTAAAAGATTTGATAAAAAATTTGATAAATTTAATTTATAAACTGTAATTTTAAATTAAATTAAACTGTAAATTGTGATTTAGTTTGGTTTGAATTTTGAAGGTTTATAATTTGATTTTATTTCTAAAAACAAACAAATTTAAACTGAACCACAAACACCCTTATTATTAATGGCCTAGATGAATTAGAGCCGAGTTAGTGAGATGTATACATGATATTTTTCTTTTCTCGTTATATACAATAAAAATATTAAAGTAATTAAATGTTTCTATAAATTTATTATTATTATAAATAACATAATATATCAATAATGAATTACAAGAGAGAAATATTAAAGTAATTAAATGTTTCTATAAATTTATTATTATTATAAATAACATAATATATTAATAATGAATTACAAGAGAGATCAAATTGAACATATCTCAAATTCATCTCGTCATATGTCAGAGTTGGAATGAAACACCTCATGGCGTCGTGAACGATGATGACATGCCTTTGACATGTACATCTCGTTTCTTTTATTTAGGAAAACATGTACAGTTGAATTGAATGATAAAACAAGAATTGTATCAGAAAATCACTTACAATTGATCATGGTTACTTAGTAACCACCAATTGGATCGAAATCTATACACACAAAAGACATAAAATTGCAAATCCGACCTTGCTTTCTAGTGACTCCCAGCCACCGCCACCGCTGCTCTCGCCGGCGTAATATTCCGGCGCACCTCCCGCCCAAACCCACTTATGAACCGTCTCACAATCATCTTCCCCGGTGCTGCAACTAGCTCCTCCCACGCCGCGTCGGCATCTCCGCCATTGCGCCTCCGAAAGACCTCCGTGGCATCGAGCCGGTGCAGCCTCCACCCATTCACCTTCCGAAGCCTCTGTATTTTCGCCACCTGCCTCTCTGCTAATTTACACGTATTACTTTTTATCTCATCAATGGCTTTTCTAAGAACCTTCTTACGAGCTTCTTCGTCCAGAAAATTCTCACTTCTGAAGTAGAAATCGAGCTCTGGAACCCCAATAGCTCGTTTAATTCCTCGTGAATAATCCGAATTCAGGTCGAATATTTCCCCGATTTCCTCCACCAAACCGTTCTCCACCATTCGATCGACCCGATCGGAGATGAATGAGTGAAGAACCGGCGGCGACACGTCAACCCAGATGAAGCAACAGTCAAAATTGGATTTAAATTCGCGGTTCCCGCCATCGATTAGGTCCTCGATGTAAGAATTGGAGCCTCCGGCGACAATAGGCAGGTGCCGGCGGGACGTGATCGAACGTACAGCAAGGGTGGCGGCGTGGCGGAACTCGCTGGCGGTGAAGTCCTCGTGTGGGTCCACAAAGCCAAGGAGGTGGTGAGGGATCCCACGCCGCTCTTCTTCGGCGACTTTGTTCGTCGCGATGGCGAGGCCCCGATGTGCCTGGATCTTATCGGAATTGATGACCTCCCCGGAGAAGCGGGCAGCGAGGTCGACGGCTAGGCGGGACTTGCCAGTGCCGGTGGCGCCCACCACCACCACCACCTTGTCCTTGGTGGTGGGTGGGATGTTAAGCAAGGGCTGCACTTGCTTGCACATAACCACGGACGTCCTCATGGTTTTGCTAAAATGAATATATAAATAATTTTAAAAATATAAATAAAGAAGGAAATTAGCAGAAATTGGAAAACCCAACACCGTGTTTGGTTAAAAGAATGTAGTTTGAAATGGGTTTTTCGTCTTAGTCTCAAACACCATAGATACGTGAGAGGTTTCTCAGGCTGTCGCCTTTTATACTCAAATTGGGTTGCACAAGATCCACGAGTGATGAAGTCAATTGGATTTTAAGTTAACGCGGGATTGGACGACAGTCAACTGCAAGTTGGATGGGTGGTTCGGGAAGGAATCCCTCCCCTTCAACTTTTTCTTTTTCTTTTTTTTCTTTTGGTTTGTAGTCATAGATACTAGTGCAAATTTTATTAATGGGAAGGGGTGTGTACACGACTGATTGATGCAGTGTCATATTTGAAAATTTTTTGGTAATTTTTAATTATTTTAAAAAAAGTCATTTAGTTTTTATGTATTATACTATTAAGGGATGTTCAATTTTACTAAAAAAGGTAAATTTTTAATAAAAAAAAATTAATTCTATTGAAATTATTTTTGAATATTTAATTTTTTTAAGCTTGAGAAGTGACTTTATAAGAAATTTTGTTTTAAAACTTTCTTATAAGAGAAATTGTATTTCTCATACAAATTGGACTATATAAAAGATTAATTTTATTAAATTTTCAAATAAAAAGTTATGAGATTTAAATTAAATAATTGTGAATCGTGAAATTATACTATTTATTTCACTCTTGAGAGAAGATATTATTGTTAAAAAATAGAATTTTCGTGACAACTACAAATCATTCAATTATCATTGGAGAATTGAAATTCGTGTTGTGCTCAAAAAATAGATTTTTATTAAAATCATTAGTATAAAAGTCAAATGATTATTATGAGTATAAAATTCAAGTGATTACGTGGATACATCTGAATTATCAAATGAATGATTAAACGTTTTACAAGAATGCAGTTAAAAGTGAAAATGTTGATGGTCATATAACAAATTATAACACTCGATATCATAGATTCAATTCGTGATCCTCTTCCTTAACTAGATTTTTAATTTGCTTAAACTTTCAATACAAAATATATATATATATATATAGTAGATTGGTAAGATATCCGTTAAGATAATTTCTTTGTTGTTGTATAAGGGGAAATAGTGGGAAGAGGGGGTGCAATTCGCTTTAAGCTCTCCTGCTGGAGGCTTAATTGATATTATAAGTTTGTGGTAGAGGTACATGCAAATGGTAGAAAAATATACATATTTTTTTTCGGGGACATAGATGTAAGAATATGAATTAAAATAAGGATTTTATGGCTGGATGGTTTTGTCCCCTACTGTCATTGTCTGTTGGAATGTTCACCGTTGATGTAACTAATGACCTTCCTCCCATGCAAAGTAATGTCATGTAACCGTGAGTAACCTTCCTCCTCCTCTTCCCGGAACTTGGAGCTGCTTTGTTTTGAGTGTATTTGAAAACACCCATTTATAATAGTTAATGTCAGTGCAAGAATATTGGTAGATTGAGGAATATTTGCTCACTTAAAATTAATAAAATTTGATCCTTTTATAATAATACGATATATTTTAATTTATTTAAAAATTTAAATATAAAATTTTAATATATTAGTAAAATAAGTTTGAATGTCAGTAAATAAATAGAAGTATTTGTGATATACTTACGTTTAATTTGAGGTTAAATATAAACTAAATTATATTTTACAATTTATGATTTTTTAAATTAAATGAAATTACGATTCACAATTTGATTTGATTTCAAAACTACTGTTTATATTTATTGAAAATATAATAATTTAGATTCACTACTTATACAAAAAAATTCAATAAAATTTTCTCTAGAAATTGAATATCAAAAATTTTTTAACCTATTTAATTCAATAAATTCATTATTTATAGATTAATTGCAACAATTATATATTATAGAGCAAATATATTCATATAATATATTAGACCTGAATTCATAATTGATGGAAATCACTTATTAGGGAAGAAAAACAATCTATTATAAAAAACATATATAAATACAAAAAAGAATAGAAAAAAGAAATATACAATCAGGTAATAAAGATAAATTTTATTACATGAGCGCAGACGCATACACACACACATATAAGATTTTTGATTTTATATACATCTAAATTATATGATTTGATTTGATTTGATTTATATAATTTATTTAGTTGTCAAACTACGGATTAAATACTTAAAAAATCTCTTTATAAATTGAACTAAATTAAATTAAATTATGATTAGTAGATAATTTAAATTAACTAAATTTGAGAAATGAAGAGATCTCTTACCCGAGTGCTGCCGCCCCCATTTAATAACTAAGCATTTTATTAATTATTTTGATTAGTGAGGGCTTGCCTGGATTCCTCTTGACTCATCAACCATGGCAGTCACTTGCATAAATACAATTGTATACACCACATTACCCACTTCAAGACAGTCTTTGCGTGTTGAAGGAGAATCATGTGGGACAAAATTTTGAAAAAGAAAAATCTCAATTGGCCAAACCTAACCACTAGGAAACAAAGATACAAATGAAGTGTTACTATAATATTTGACCAGGTATACTAGCTATTATTTTAATTTGTTTTATAATGTTCCTCTAGTTAGACAATAAATCTAATGTATGGGTACATGCACTTGTGAAACTCTCTTGCCTTTTATCAAGGTACTCTTAGGTACCAAAAGTACATGGTGAGATCAAAAATGTGTTTTTGGAAAACATAAAAAATGTAAAAACAATCACTAATTTTGTTTTTCAATTTCAAAAACACTTCTCTAAATCTCCCAACCTTATAAGACCTCTTGCAGGATCTAGCCATAGATTTTTCCTTTTTTTTTCCCTTCTCTAATTACAAAAAACTCTGATTCCATGTCAGCAAGTCCTACTCCTACTTGCACCTAATCATCTAGTACTAATGTGATTGTTATAATTGATAATCTTTTAATTTTGCTACTAATTAAAGTCAAATCCTGGTTATGCCAACTTTAAAATTGACCAGTTGTCAATGAAAAAGCCTGCTTCTCAAGCTAGTTGGACTCACGACCTTTTTGGATGCGGTCATCTGATTCCAAGTCCAAGAGGAGGGTAACCCAGAAAATAATTAAAAACAAGGGCATAAAAAAGTTCTTGCGATGGGTTGTCCCCGAAGCCAGCTCATGGTTGCTTGGCAAAAAGTTGACTTATCCAATCTCAGACTATTAAAAATAATTAAACATATGCAAACGCCACAAGTGATTACTCAGCGAGCTACCCTTTTATAAATCAAATAAATGTTACAAGGTTTCACGTGTCCTACGCGAAATAGGATGAAAGACACAAATTGTATTACAAGTCACCGCATTATGCATTTTAATATATATATTTTTTTAAAAGAGAATAATGACTTATGATAAATAATATTAAAATTAATTCTGAGTGATTAATTTAGTAATATTATGACCTATACCTATTACTTTTAGAGAATAAATAAACAACTTAATGAAGAATGCTGAACTTGACCAAAATGTTAAACATTAAAAACAAAACTAGTTTATTTATTTACTTACTTTATTAACAGTTTTAATTGTAAAACATCTTTTTATTTGAGTAAGAATCAATTCTGTATTTAGTTGGATTTTATTTTGGAGTACTATATGAGTTTTGTTTTCAAAATTGTAATAGATTTAGAAGTGGGTATCATGTGCATTTTATGTTTTTGCCTCTTATAATTGAGTTAAACCCCGAGGAGAATTCACAAGAGGAGTCTGCCTTCGTCAGTGCATTGTTCAAACGGGACCTAAAACGTTGTAAGCAACGAAGTTCTAGAATAATGAAAGGTCTCGTGTAAGATTCTTTTGATTCCTTAAATAAAAGTTAGTATATTATTAATGGTATGTTTGTTTATTGGGTAAGGAGGGTTCCCTTTATTTATATTTGCTAGGCTCATTTTAATTAAGCTAAGAAATAAATAAATAAATAACATAAAACGTTTTTTAAAATTTACTGTAAGGGTTAAAAAGGAAATTTAAAGAATAAATTTAATATTAAAAATTCGTAACGTATTTTGACCATTTTGTACAATTAAATAATAAAATTTATTATTTTTTTTAAAAAAATTACTTTCCTCAAAATTACATTTGATCAAACAAGGTCTACATGTTGATTTTTACCGATTAATTATTTATAATTTTTGCACTGTGTGCGTGTCTGTCTATATATATATATATATATATATATGTATGTATGTATAATATCCAAAAAAAGTGCATCAAAGTTTTTGCTTTTTCAACAAAATTGGAGGAGCGTTCTCCTTGTATGGACATGATATCGCCATCAATCTGTAAGGCAAATTGTGAGTGAGAATCAACACTAGTAGTAGGATACAAATATTAATTTGGAATAGTGCCGGCCCACTGGGCCTTATTGGGCTGAGGGCCCACATCATCGAGACTCTCCTCTCCTAAAGCAACCCTCTACAAGCTGCCCTTGTCCTCCAAATGGCGAAGTTTCGCGTCGGCCAATGTATTTGTTTCTGATAGATTTCAGAAATATCCTTCTTGGATTTTATAAATAAAGGATTTGACACAACGCATCGTAGATTTTTCATTTTTATTTTTTTCTTCTCTTTTCATCTAATAAATTTTGCGGATTTTTCAAAGGCAGAAAAAAACTACAATTTTCATGTCAGTCTTCTTATTTTTTACAGTAATAATTTTGAATAATTTAAGAATATATTTTAAAATGACAATAAAAAACCTTCATGAACAGTATAATAAATAATTTTTTTTAATTATTCATATATTTTTTGTTTTCTAAAAATGTAAATTGTTTTAAAAAACAATACCACCAAACACGCCTCCTGAATTGTTAAAAAATGCAGCCGTGACTTGTGAGGCCATGGATCTTGCTGGCCTGCAAGCACACCGGTCTGGGCCTACCAAGGAAGCTCCATTAGATTTAGACGATCGCACGGGCGAGACAAGGCCAGTGGGTTGTAAACGTGGCAAGGTGTGGTTGGGTCCTGCTTTTCTCCTTCTACTTTTGGAAAGACGAGGCCACGTAGACAACGCTCCGTTGGTTAATCCAGAGGACTTCTCCGGAAGCTCAATAGAATAATTAAAATTTTAAAAATGTTTTTTAAATTTTCTGACAAAAATTTTGAATTTTAATTATTTTTTAATTTAAAAACGAACAAAATATAAGGAGAGAGAAAAAGGAGACTGGATGGTTTTTCTGAGGGAAGTCAGTGAAGGTGTTCACTTCAACATCTCTTCGCTCCACACACGCACGCACGCACGCGAGAGAGAGAGAGAGAGAGAGAGAGAGGGGGGGGGGGGGTGAGGGGAATTTGCTTAAATTAGAGAGGGAGACAAAAATGTGAGGAAGCTAAATCTGGCAAGCGCAGGGTTGGGTCGACAAATCAAGTTTGTGGTTGAGGCGAGAGATCGCGAGCAAGCGAACCACCGGCGAGGAGCATAACCGGCTGTGGAAAAGACGGCTTTCACCGGAAATGGCGGTGGCTCTCAGCTGGTCCTCCGCCTTCCGCGTCGCTCTCTTCCTTCTCCTCCTCGCCGGCATCGCCGTCGCTTTCACAACTCTTCCGGCAGAAAAGGTCCTGTCCCTGCTCTTTCTCTCTTATCAATTTGTTTAAACGTGATCTATTTTGATGCATGACTAATTGTATTTGTTTCACTTTCGACGGATTCGTGATTTGAGGTATGGATGTTAAACAAAAATAGCTATTCTGTCCTTTCAAAATGCGGAGCGATGCTTTTGCTATTTGCTTTAGCTTTAATTGTGGTCGTTTAGGTATTGGAACGTTGTGCAGTGGCTATTTCCTTTTGGTTTGTTATCGCGAACAGCCTTGGACATACCAGGAAGAAGGAGATAATCAGAAGATTTGTTTGTTAAGAAAGAATACCGCCACGAGGGTTTGAAAAATTTATAACTGAGCGCAGAAAGAATATTATTAAGTACGTCAATGAAGATGAAATCAAACCGGACTACTAAATAAAAAACAAAGAGCAGCAGAAGTTTCTTTTTCGATGGAATGTTGGAAAATAAGTTACGCCATTGGCTTCGCCTAAGAAAATGTAAATGCTTAAAGAATGATATTAATTGTAATCACTTGTATGATAGCTCAGAGTGGTACTGTTTCTGGGAATGATATTAATTATGTAATGTCTTGAATTTTAGATTGTAGTAAAACTTATTTTGTGTAAAGAGAGAAAAACCAAAAAATTAACAATTACTTATCATCCAAAGATGACAAACAACAAGCTATGGATGTGCAGTGGAGGAATGAATAATTTGCTTTGTTTTTGATTTAGCCTATGGCACTATTCATAGAGTTGTGATAATAGTGTTTTATTCGTCTTTTTTATTTCTGATATGATATCTTTTTTTCATATATATATTTTTTCCTTTGTTTTTTTCATTGCACTGAATCATCCTAATATCTTTTTTCTTCCCTTTCTTTCTGCAGACTCTTAAGGATTTCTTGCTATGGGTTAAGCTGGATCTTGGACCTTGGGGTCCACTTGCATTGTAAGTCAATCTCAATGGTGCTTTAATATGTACATGCATACGACTATCAATCTCAATGCCAACAAACCGTAAACTTGTTTTCCTTCTGCCCTGAAATTTTTTCCTTTTTGTTAATCATTCAACTGCCAACCGCAAGGGATTAGCTTCTGGACCAAGTAGGGCTACACAGCCAGCAGATGAGTCAATTATTACAAATATAAAACATCCTCTTTCCCCTTATTCTGGTGAAAATTTCCATGAAAAATGCATGAAATTCCTTATTTCAGTTCTCTATGTTGTACCATCGATAATTTTTTGAATACACTCTTGTGTATTTAAGAAGAAATAAAAGGCAGGCATCCCAAATTGGAGGAAGTTTTTGTCCGTCTATGATTAGAATTCTGTACTTGGTCTTTACTGCTAAATAGTTTTCAAGACCAAAGCAGTATCTCTCTTGTCCTTTTCATCTTTCCAACATAATTTTCATTCCTTTTTTCCTTGTTTTTTTGGAATTCCATAGGGCCATTGCATATATTCCTCTTACCATTCTTGCGGTTCCAGCCTCAATACTTTCTGTAAGTAATGGTTATTTTTTGTATTTATTGTTTCAAGCTAGTGGGAATACCCTTCTTATGCTTTCATTCTATTTTACCAATGTCCAAGCTGAAGCACTTTTGTGTAGACCTTGGGAACAGAAAATAAAGAAGTAGAAAGGAAGTAAGAAAACTGAACAACTGTCTATTTCCTATCATAAGTAGCTAATGATTTGATTGAAAAGAGAAGAACAAGTGGCTAGAAAAACTGCCTAATGAAGTGAAGGTCTTTGGTTTTGATCCTCCTCTCTTTGGGCAAATCATGTAGGGTTTGCTGGATTTTTAGCCACAAACAGATTTAAGGACCTCTGCTATTAGGTTGGATGCTGCAGTTCATATAGGGTTGTTCAAAACTGAACCAAATTGAACCAAACTGATTGAAAACTAATTTAAACCGAAAGGAATCAGTTTAATTTGGTTTATGAATCTGTCAAACCGATTGGTTCAGTTCGGTTTTCAGTTTTATCACCCAAAAAAAAAAAAAACCGAACTGATCCGATCCACTTTGGTTTTATTTATTTAATAAATATGTCATTTTCTACCATTTTTCATATAGGCCCATTAATTTGTGCTTAATTTCAATTTCTCTCCTAGAAGGTACAAGTCTGATACCAAAACTAAATCTCATGTTTGATTTTATTCTCTTTTATTTTTGTTTTGAAGAAAAACACATGTTTTTTTTTGTTTTGAAAAAAAATGAGCAAAACCGATTAGGTCAACCGAACCAAACCAACTTCAATCATGTCTGGTTTGCTTTGGTTTTTTGGCACAAAAAGAACTGATCACGTCCAAGCAAATCCAAAACTGACATGTTCAGTTTGGTTTGGATAATGTCCAAAACCGAACCGAACTGATGAACACTCCTAAGTTCATATTTTAGTCAATTTCTGATGTCTTGGCTTGAATATCTTGCTTGCTTATCTTCTCAAGTTTGCTGAAAATATTACCTTTTTTATATTTTTCACATGATGTAAAGGTTTTGTTTCCATGTTGTACTTAATTTAATTCAGTAGTAGGATATTGTTTGATGTATTGCAGAAGTTAGGACTTTCATCTTGATCATTGGATTTGATGTTGAATGTTGAGATTCAAATTCTTTCGAGATTGCTTCTTGTTGGTCCTTCATCGTTTTAACCAACTATTTTCTACAAAGTTGGCCCTATTGCTCTAAATTGTGCTTCTGTTTATTTTTCAGAGAATTATCACGTCTTTGGGTGGTTGTTTTAAATTGGTGGAAATGCTTGGCTAATTATACCTGTGTTACTTTTCTTTTCCCAGAAACCTATTGTTGTTTCCTTGACAAACATTTTTTATGGTTTGGGTACTTTTCACATATGCAGCTTGGAGGTGGTTATCTCTTTGGGTTGCCAGTAGGATTTTTGGCTGATTCATTAGGTGCTACAATAGGTGCTACAGCTGCCTTTCTTCTTGGTAAATCGGTAAGCCTCACACATGGTTAAGCCTCTAATTAGGTAAATGAAGGCACGTGTTCATATTTTAATAGGGCTGATGCTGGAGTTTTCTTTGTCGAGGACATTTTATGATTGTTAACCAATATGTGTTCTTGCCTATGTGAGTAATCTGTGGAATGCAGTCAAGAAGTCTCCATTTTGTTTATGAATTTTATTTTAGCTGGAGACTTTGTGTATGCTTTGACATGGATAATTCTAATACTTCCTTGCAGATTGGGCGATCTTATGTCATTTCTAAATTAAACAATTATCCAAAGTTTCAAGCTGTGGCTATTGCAATTCAGAGATCTGGTTTTAAGGTTGAGTATGTGCGATCTTTCAAGTATTAAAAGTTTATGTGTCTTAGACTGACCAAAATACATTCTTCTTCAATGCATTAAATAAGTTTTGTAGTCCTCTTCTGGTTATACAACATTTAGGTTCATGCAGAGCTCAATGAGGCCTGATCCTACACTCTTTAAGAAGTTCGTTTTGAGTTCAAGAGGTGCTGGGTTTATAAAATTTAGCTCAGGCTTGCAATGGAACATGCTTTTACCACAACAAATCTAGGATGTCACGAATCAAAATGTTTCAATTATGGATATTTGATGTGAAAATTCTGGACAATGCATAAAACACCAGAAAAATCCTATGGCAGCCTAAGCTGTTTTTCATTGTACATCTTTTGCTGCAAGTCAAGTTAGTACAACAATGAAAATGAACTGCAAAGCATGGACCCATACAAAGTTTCTACATGGTTTCACTTGAATCTTGGACTCTTTCTCATTGCAGAAGTAGGTTTGTTTTCCTTTCTCTTACAGGATTATTAACAAAAATTGACTCTTTTGTGACTGCTACTGCTTCACAACCCGACCATTTAATTTCAGAGAAACCAACTCCATTCCATGGTGTGTAATTGATGATTGTTGGAGCTTTATGCAAAATACACATTAAGATCCATGTCTATTGTGATGGAGAAAATGATAATATTAGTTCATTAATAATGTATCACTGGCCTTTGTACAAGAAAGATTTGGTATTTTGCATTTAGTTTATTTTATTTTTCTCTTTTGCAGGCATTGGTCATTTGCCTTAATGAAAATGATGCATGCCCTATTATTTTACCAAAATCAAATGATCATGGACATAATTGGAAGTCATATAAACTTGGTAATTAACGATTCAATTAATTAGCAGTTCATAAATCCTGCATGATAGTAAGAAGGTGAAAAACCCTTAAGCCTCCTGAGAGAAGAATTCCTCTAAATTTACTTAATGTACTTAAGGTTCAATTATAGTTTTTGACATTAATTATGTAATATACAATGAAGTCAACTGAGTACTTTTCACTTCCCAGGATTCTGTCTTAAGGTCTAAGCATAACCTAAGCTTACCCAACCTTCTGGCTGTTTGCTCTTGCTTATTATGTTTCCTTAATTTAAAGTCTATTCTCCATATCTTCTGTTCTTCTGTTTTTTTTTTTTTTGGGCTTCTGTTTTGTAATTGTTTTCTCTATACTAATAAATTCATCATCCTATCTAATTTATTCCTTTTCTTACACTGCAGATAGTTTTGCTGCTTCGGCTTGCTCCATTACTTCCATTTAATTTGTTGAACTACTTTCTTGCTGTAACTCCTATCCACCTGGGGGAGTACATACTGGCATCTTGGCTGGGGATGATGGTATTGATTGTTTTCCGTTTTCTGTCATTATCTTCTTTTTTTCTTTTCTTTTCTGTTTTTTTTTGTGGTTATCGCAAGAGATTAGAAACTAATTTCATATTCTCTACATAATACATTCATATTCAAGCTGCAACAAAATGATTTGATTGTTTTCCATAAATCATTTTCTCTTTCCTATTAGTGAGGATATTATTTGGGACCTAATATTGAAGGTTAGGTAGTTGATTTATCTAACTTCAAATATGATTTTTGTTGATCGAATTTCTTTGTCTTACCAGAAAGAAAACTTAAAGAAAAGATTCTTTTTGGGTGCAATAATGTATACCTCTGATATTTTATTTGATCGAGATTATGATTAACTCTCACTCCTTGTATAGCCAATAACATTTGCTCTGGTATACATTGGAACGACTTTGAAGGATCTTTCTGATGTCACAAATGGATGGCCTGGAGTTTCAATGACTCACTGGGTAAGACATGTTTCTTTATAGTCAAATTTTAAAAGCACTGCGAGGGAAAATACATGTTCATTAGATGATTGCTTTTTGTATATTATATATAGGTTGCCAAAGCTAGATAAAATTTGTAACTTTGTGTTTAAATAGCAGTTTGTATTTGATTCTCATTTTTTCTACAACCCATTGCTCGTTAATGCAGGTATTTGCAGCATTGGGGTTTGTGGTATCTGGTGAGCCATAATTCATCATAATCTATTTTATTTGCTTCTTGTTGAGTACTTTGTTTGTGGGGCAAGCCCTTTTTTATTATTTTTTGAACCTAGTGATGCCTTAATATAAATAAACTACATAGATGGTTGAATTGAAGATTTTCTTGAGAGATAAATATCTAATATAACTCAGCAGTTACTACAAGGCTACCTTGACCTTAGCATTTTGTTGCTTCAATAGATTTCCAAAATCCACATTCAAATCTTTGCCTTTAGCTTTGGCTACTTTTCTACTGCCACCAACACTCCAGTCGAGCTCTCCAAGTGCCAGGTGTGAAACCAAACCTAGAAACTTAGGTTACTTTTAATGACACTTATTTGGTTTGAAAGTTTTCATAAATCTTGTAGAGTGGAACGAAAAATATGCATGGCAAAACCATTTGCAGCTTTCAATAATAAATATACATAACTGGAAAGTATAAATAAAATTTCTGCTTACATTCTTCTCATCCTGAACAATTTCTTCAATTTCTTTCTTTTTTAAGTAAATAACAACATTGTTCACAATTCTGTAAACATAAAAAGAAAAGAACATGAAGTGAGGATTTAAACTGATTTACTGTTACCTTGTCTGCTCTGAATAGTGATTCTGATGGTATACACCACTAAAGTTGCAAAGGATTCTCTGGATAAAGCACTGGCAGAACATGCTGGTACAGGGGGTGAGTTCCCATGGCTCCCGACTGTTGCAGAGTCAAAGTTGGGCCTTCAGAAGCCTCTCATAATTAAGGTAGACTCTCCTGGGATCATGTGAGATAAATTTCATGTAAGATACTCTTTCGCTTCACTGTGTACATTCTTTTAGAATGGTGTTGTTAGGATTGTAGATTATGATGGAACAGAGAGGGTGAAAGAGGGATCAGTTTTTGTCCGAGAAGAGAGAAAAAATTACTTTTAGCTCGTGTGCAGCCAACAGTATGTAGAGATAGCTCTCATGGTATCGTCTTATTGCCATCTTGAAGGAAATGATAGGCTTTTCATGACATCAGATAATAGATTTAGCGGACTTTTGGTTTGTCAGAGGTTTTGGGGTTTTTTAATTTTCTCGGTGTTTGGTTTTTGAAAGGTTTTTACGTTTTAAATTTTTTGGGCCATGAAGCCAAAGAAAAAATCTCGATTATTCGTGATGTTCAGCTAAAAAAATTATTGACTTTATTTGTCTGATTACCTCAAAGAAATTAAAAAAAAAAAAGCATCTATAAAAATTTTGCGCTCTTTACTTTGTATCCCATTTGAATATTAAAAGAAAAATAAACGTAAAAAATTAGAAAGAAAACTTCAAAAAATAGTAAAAATCAGACTTTCAACAGGCTTTTATATTTATAAGTTTTCTACATTTTTCATGCTGAACTAAATGGTAAGATAAGTTGAAAATAATAAACCTCACCCCCCCCCCCCCCCCCAAAAAAAAAGAAGGTTTTCTTAGTGTAATGTATCCAAACGGCGCCGGGTTACTGCTAGGAAACCATTTCAGGTGGATTTTTCAGAAAAAGACCCCTTCCCAGAAGGCATCAAAAAGCTATTTTTGATATTCTTATGAACTATTTTGTCGAGAAGGAGAATGATGGGAAAATTCTGGAGTATTCTGCTTTTAGAAATGCAGAAAATGAAAAGTGGAAACAGAATACAAATCTAAACAGTTGTATTTGGTAATTTCTAGAAGAATGAACTACTGTAATTTCGAAGTAGTGAAAGATTACTATAGAAAATGAAAGGCATGAAAGCAAAGTTAAAGCGAGGTATCCATTCACAACTAATTCATAAGCTTTATCGCAGATTAGATGCAAGTAATTCCTGTAGTTTTCTTTCCCAAAGGCCAAAATGTACGAAGGCCGTGGAAATTACCAGATAAGTTTTCAAGATGTTTCTGAAAATATCTGGTGGCGAACCAGGGATAAAGACTGAAAGAAACCAAAAATATAAGAGTTTGGTTGGTTTGTTAGCTGGGGTTCTAGGCTTTTAAGCAGAACGGTGGTTAAGCCCTATAGCCGATGCCATTGGTATTATAACCAGGCCCCTGCTCTCCAATAGCTTGGATGCTGCCGTTGGATTCACTTCAAGTAACTTACCCATCATCTCTTCTAGAGGTTCATTTAGTACCTGTTCATCGAGAAGATAATGGCCGTATCCCTGTGAATAACGGGAAAAATAGTTATGGAGAAAATTGATAGAGAAATAAATAAATAGGTAAGGCCTAATGATTGAGCCTTATACTTTGTTTTCTGTTCCATATTTGCTTTCTCTTCATTTTGTGTTTTTAAGAACAGAAAATTTGAGAAATACTTGAGAACTCTATTGTTTTCATTTTCAATTAAAAAATAGTTTTCAAGAATCTTGAGAACAACCTTTTATTCTCTTCCAAAACCGGGCCTGTCTTCTGAAAATCCTCCCAAAAACAGATTTCCAAAACAACCCAGCAAAGGATTTTTCATTTCCAGAAACAAAAATTTTTGTAAACAAATTAAAACAGGCTGTTTTCATGATTTCTTCCATAGAAGCATCACACGTAGATGTATACCTCCAAGCAAATGAAATGACCAGAAGTTGGCTCCCCTCCCAATCTACTTTGACTTAGATCCTGCAGAATGAATGAACGCCATCCAGTCTTCTTCTTTTGCAATAAAAAGGATTATAAATACCAACATATTTTGTGTCTTAAAATGATTTGCAGCCTGTTATATCAAGCTCTATGGAAAGCAAAAAGGTTTTTAGAAGTGTGAACTAAAATTTGAGTTGAGAGTGTAGCGCACATTTACCAAAAATTGAGTGGTATGCAACCAAATTAAAAGGAATGGTACCTTTATTTGAAGCTGCAAATACTTGATATGGTCAATGATATTATCATATTGAGATGCTTTACTCCCCTGCAAAACCATGAGGAGGGAACTGTAAGTATCAGGTGGCAGCCATAACTAGGACAGTCGTGCTCTCAAGAATGTTTTTGCAAGTCAGTTCAAAATTATAGTGAAATCATCAGTTTGAGAAATACTTCATTCAACATGTATAGATCTTTGACAATTAGAACCAGCCTTTTTTTTTTTTTTTTTAATTTGGTTTTATTCCTGTATCTGCAAATAGAATGGCTCTTGCAAGATACATTTTTCACACAACTTTCGGGGATAAAATAATTACATGCAATATGCTGTGTTACCAAATGCTTCGTTAAATGCACCACAAAATTTTTGTTCTCCAGATTCCATTATCCTCTTACATGCCTTGCAACAAGATTAACGAATGCTTAAACAACAAAAAGCCGAACATGTTAGTTGTAAAATCTGACTTTTTTTCCATAATTGTTTACTAGAATCTTTAACAGTAAGTTATATGTTTTAATGCATGCTTAAACAACAAAAGTTGAACATGTTTGTCGTAAAATCTGACATTTTCTCTAATTGTTGATTAGAATCTCTAACAGTAAATTACATGCTTTATTGCATGCTTCTACCAAATGGACACACATGTGGTTCACCTGCTTAGGATGCGGAAGCAGCTCCTGCAAAGCATTGAGTCTCTCAGCAATCTTTACTCTACGTGCCTAGAGAAAAATTGCCCAGTTAAAAACTGAACAAATGATGCACTGAGTCCAGATTTTGATGAAGTCTAATTAATATCATCATCAAAAAAAAATTTGGCTAGGTAAAAACTATGAGGTTCGTTCACCCAGGTGCAAAGATAATAAATGGAAACAATTTGATGGTTAAGTCTTGAGGCTATTGAATATTTTGTATTGTCCGAGGAGTTTACTTACACGGTCAGCAGAAGTGGCTCTCTGTCTTGAAATAGGATCACGTTTTTTGGTCGTGGAAGTTGGTGCTACAACTGCTACTCTTGAATGAGGTTCATTCAATTCTTGTTTCTGTATATAATAAAGAGACTGCATGATATGTGTTGCATCACCATGATAAAACTTGTTCAAATGATTTGTGGAGACAATAAACTCCATTCATTTGCCAGCAAGGCAGCAGAAAAGTAAGAAAGTTTGCCTGAAAAGATATCCTACACTCCGTGCTCGTGAAATTGTTCATAGCTCCTTGTTCATGTTGAGATGTCAGATATTTTACCTCTTGTAAAACAGCATTATCATCGACCTTCAGGGTTTTATTGCAATGTTAGTCATCCAGACAAGCTACATATAAAGAAACCATATTGGCATAAATTATTAGGAATCTCTCACCATCGGTCATCTCTATTTGGCTGCACAATTAAAATATCAAATTTAATGAAGCTTCATAAATGTACCTTTAAGCATTTCCTTAGTACGATTCTTACCTTCCAAATATCCATGCCAGTAGTGGAATTAGCAGGTTCATAACCAGGCAACACTCCAGGATTATTATATAACACATCCCTCTGGATTTCAGAGAAACAATTTTCTGCAAGATATTCTACATAATTGTGAGATGTTTGATAGCAATGAATCCATTGGGGTTGGGGAAGAGGAAGAGGACGTATTTGATTTCTTCCTTCTATCGTAGCATATTGTTGGTTTGGCTTTCCTTGACACGGTTGCAATGCATCGCATGTGTTCACACCAAAATCCAATGATATAAACTGCAGAGAGTTCCCATTGCTTGATTGTCCTTCCATATTATCCAGCACATAAGCTGTCTGAGTATCATTAAGTCAGAACAATGAAATGATAGGAGAACATGTAGAAAGCAACAAGGAAATGAAATGAGAATGCTAAGAACCCAAAATTATTGTGCGAAGGGCAATGTGATTATTACAGAAAGAAAGAGAGGGAGAACGATGATTCATAATAAGAGATTGGTACGGATAATAACTAGTGCTGGGTTACATTTGGATCAAAAGTGAGAAAGAGATGAGAATTGATGAATATGAGAGAATGAAAGAAATAGAATCCTGTAGATAAAATGTAACCTACTTCTGCCATGAAAGAAAATAATTTTAAGCTTGCAACAATACCCCCATTCCATTCTAGAAGAAGACAAGTATTTTCTTGCTATCCTTTTTACAAAATCACATAGGTGCTCATTTGTTTGAAATTAACCCAACCGTAGCTCAGGAAAAGCATACCCAAGTGCTTATGAAGCAAAGTGAACTGCCAATATTAATACTTTTCATCTACCTTTCATTATCTGGTGGCTGTAAGAATCTAGATGTTTAGGGAATTAAGGCTTAGTTTAATCATAGATTGGATATTAAGATTTAATAAGGAAGCGTTGGACAAAAATTATTAAAAATAATAAATGTAAATCCCTCCTAGTTCTTGCTTCGTTTTTTAAAGTTCTAAGGGAAGGGTAAAAGTAGGTCTTCAGAATTATATTTCATTTCCAATAGCTTCTCATTACCAGCAGAGCTTAGAATCCTTTCGAAAAAAAGAGTATGGACATCAACAGAGCAATCCTACTGCAAATATTCGATTAGAACACTTAGCAGATGGAAATAAATAAAAATGACAATCGCGAACAAGAGGGATAAACAAGTTTTGTTCGCTATCATAAATTAATTGAACTGACAAAAGCAAAAACAGATATTCTACACTCCAGAGACTAGAAGTAATAAACACTGCTCTCAGCGGATTTGTGCCGGAAGCAATCAAGCAAGTATCCCGCCAGCGCAGCTAGAAATGAACTCGCAAGATAACTCCCAAGTCCTACCGAATCAGTGCCTCTAACAAGTTATGGTTAAGTTTTAATCATCAATGCAGAAAGAATAGGAAAAAAAATCGGAAAAAAATACTGTAATCCAACGAAACCTCACAATAATATACTATCAGTGGTAAAATTAAAACGAAAAGCAGAGACACATAGATATACATCGGGACATATACAAGTATGATATAGATTCAGAAGAAGATGAAAAGAGTCTCACGAGGAAACATCTAGGGCTCGTCCTCAGATCGCTCGAAGAAGAGAAAATGCCTTTCTTCTAACGGTAGAGGTGGTTGGTATCAGGCATGATACGTACTTGTAACAGAAGTCACTCAGAGCTGGTACCGGGGAAAATGGTGGGGATACGAAAACCCAAAAGCACCCCTCTTCGCTCTGTCTAATTTCACGTCTACTATGCTCTACAGAAGCCAAATTACACTACAGGTCACCCGACTATTTGATATTCTCAATTTGGTGCAGTGCCGATCGAATGTATTTGATTCAAATGTGTCCTGGGGTTTTGATTTTGTTTACAATGGAAGAAATTTTTTAATATTTTGATTTGTTTTGAGAAATTAAATTTTTTTATTTGATTCCTACAAACGAATCAAATATTCATTTTTTATCATCCAAAAATTTTTATAATTTTAGTTCAAACTTAATCTAAATTTAATTTCATTTTAATTTTATTAAAATATTCGATAAGTTAAATTTAATTATAAATATTAATAATTTGAAAATAAAAGAATTGAATATAAAATTTAAATAATCTGATTTATGAAAAATCTAAATTCAATTTTAATAATATTTTTATTAAATTAATAATTTTATATATAAAAAATATTGATAAATTAAATTTTATAACATTAAATTAAAAAATTTAAAAATTAATATAATTGGTGAAATAGATTCTATGAACTTAAATATAAAAAAGTTATTTTTTTCATGTGAATATTTTTTAAATTAATTATAATCAAACCACAAATTTATAATTTCATGCATAATAATATAACTTTTGATTCTTTTCCCAAATATTGAGAATAAAAAGAAGGGAATTTCCTTCCAACTTTGTCCAAATACGGATGAATATTCCAGCATCCCCTGGGTATACACAGAGAAAGCTAGCAGATAGTTCCACGTGTCAGGCCTGGTGAGGCGTGGCCTTACATAGCTTATCCAAGGGCCCAGATATTCCCCAGCGGTGAACTCGGTGAGACAGTGTCCCCTGCGATAACCGGACCCTCTTTATTCCTAGACCGCAAGCATATTCCCCATCCCTTTGTTTACATTTTGAAGGCTCTGTTTGGCTCTCGCCTTATCTCCCTGCTGCTTTGATCCATCCCTTGTCCCGCACGCGAGACCTATTTTCTTCGCCTGAATCACGTCAAGCACCGCCCGAAAACCTGCGGCGATTGATAGTCCACGACGCCGGAGGACGACAACGACGCCAATCTATTTGTTTTCTCGAGGTCTAGTCATGGCGACTCCTGATGTTTTGCAGAGAGAGCTCGATCTGCTTCTGCTATCTCCTCTCTTCGACCACCGGAAAGGTACCGCAAAGAAATTTTCAATCGTGCGCGTGCCTCACCTCTGTCGTTATCCAAGTTGATTATTCATTAGCCTCATACCAATTCCATGTACATGCGTGTAGACGTATGGGACTGTTGTGATCTTTATTTTTTCTCAATTTGCCCTAGTTACTACCGATTTTGCTGACCTTGATGGGTTTTTTGTTCTGCTTTGTTATTAAGGAGCTCTTGCTTCTTTGTTCGCTGGTGCAGAAAATTTATTGACTTGTAATTTTGTGTGCGTTGCAGGAGAGAATGCAAAATCCCGAGGCATGGCTATTGAGAAGAAGATCGAGTTCCTCGAGAGCTTGACAGGAAACGTAATTATGGAATTTCCTTTCCATTATTGTGAAGAATATTTTTGTTCTTATCCCTCATTTGGTAGCCAAAATTAGTCAGCTTACGTCCAAGACAAATTGATATATTGGTCAAACTTTGCAATGCGGTAATTTCGGTGATCTAAGCTGTCTCACAATATAGTCCTAAAGCAATCTTGAAAGAAGGTGCTAATAATTGGAAATTAGACTTCTTGTTCTTGTAGAAGTTCTAAGATGGTTGACAAGAATTCTCATACATCGTAAAAGGTTGTTTCCTAATTTGAAAAAGTCCAACTTACTTACAATCTATTTTGCCTTTAGCTATTGAAAATGAAGCCGTGGTTTAAGTTTCATGACACCAATCTGATGCTGGATATTACTGCTGTTCCTCCATTTAATTCTCTCAGATTAGCAATAGAAGGTCACGCAGATGGTTAAATGATCGTCTGTTGATGGAGCTTGTTCCACGTTTAAATGCAGAAGAGATCAGAGGCCTGTTTGCCCCACCACCTTGGGGTATGTTCTATGACATTTCCCCCCCTACTTTAAGTAATCACATGCGGCTATTTGTGTGTGGGGCTATTCTATTGGCTGCTCCTATCACAATTCTAAGGCACTTTTGGACACCCTTAAGCATATAAGCAAAATCTTGTGAAACAGAATAATGAATATTTGATGATTGTAACTGATATGAATTTTCTTTCTCCTTTTTAGTATTGTCATCTTCCTGCTATTTAGGTGAAATGGGACGAATTGGAATCATGCCCAAAAATTTCTCACCATTTCCTTCCATCCTCATTTTGTTGGTGTTATTGTTGTTCCTCATCGTTATTGTTGTTGTTTTTCTATTGTTTGTTATACACTTTCTTCTGTGAAGTTCTTGGCCTGGGTAATTCTTCTTTAGGTGAGTTTAAAGTTTGGGCAAAGAAAAGGATTAAATAGTGTATATTTTGAGAAATGCAAATATTCAAGTTTGAAGGGAAGATAATTATTCCTGAGCTCACGTTTAAAGTGTGGGACAAGAAATGAATTAGATAGTGTTTATATTGAGAAATGCAAATATTCAAGTCTGAAGGAAAAATAATTGTTCCTGAGCTCAATTTTGTTATTGAGAATAGCTAGCAATAGATTTATTAAAAATTTTGCATTAGAATCCTTTTGTTCCATTATTGGCTCAATTGGGTGTATTGACAGTGCTGAAGTTTAGTGAACTCAGATAGTTTGCTCGAAGAATAATTCTTTTCTGTTAAATACTTGTATTTGATGATAAATTATTGATTTTAGCGTTCATTTTACAGGTGATGATGTTCCGCTATCACCATTTTGCATGACAAATGTGGGCGAGTGGGACAAATTTAGGCACATAGACATGGACAAAGAGGTTTTTTAACTTCTCTTATTTACAAAACCTTGTTTATTCACTGCAACGTTTTTGCAGGGTATAATTAGAGGAATGCTGTAAATTTTAGAAAATTGATTGATAGGCTCTTATATGATGCTGTTTGAGGCAAAAGTGCCCTGCAATTGGATTTAATTTCAATTTTGGATTGCAATACGTATCAACTGACTTTTATGGCCGGCGCAAAAAATTTTGGAGAAATTGCTAGTACTGGAAGTGATTCATGGATACTAAGTGAACTTTGATTATGCTGCCTTCACACATGAGATGATTTTGACTCTTTTAATTTCTATTTGACTTTGATAGGCAACCATCATAAAAGGTCTTGAAAGGTCAACATCAAAAAGGAAAGGTCATGTGGACACTGATAAGATGGCTATTTTGACTGCATGGCACAGAGTAGATAGTCGAACTAGAGAGGCTCTTCGCCGTAGCTTTCAATCAGATGTTGTTAGTGGATATGAGGTAAATCTGATCTTTAAAGAACGAGATGCATGACTGCCTTCTACTGATTCTCTGAGTTTCTGGTTTTACTTGTGAAGTTGTTATCATTTTTAGCTCTATGTATGAATAAGTGTGCTCCATGCTCATCAATTACATCTTTACCTAGTTTCTTCTCCACTTGTCTCGTACCAAATTGTTCCTTTTTACAGGAATGTATACGTGCCTTCGTCAAGGATAGTGAAGAAGGCAATGTGCTTACTCTCCATGTTCAAGATCCATTTCATAGGTTATTGCTGCACGGCGTCTGTGAGGTACTAGTTTGATTTGTTTTTGTGTCGTTGCTTTCAAAGCCAAATGTGATGTTCGCCTCTTGGATATTGATAACTGAGGTCCTTTTTGAAATTGTTTTCAAGAGCTAGGTGTCTTGGGGAAAAAAAAAAAAAAACTATTGAACAAATTGTTTTCGAACCACTTTTGGGTGAATATTTTCATTTCTTTTTTTTGAAAACATAGAAAATGAGAACTAAAAACAAGTCCAAACAGAAACTGAAGCAATGCTTCTCGGAACTGTCTTTCTGGAAATCTGGTAAATCAAAGTTATTGTTTTCTATCAAACATGTCATCCACCTAAAAGAATTTTGAAACGGGGGTTTGTACAATCGGTCTGTAAACATAAATTGGTAGAGGTTTGTTAGTTTCAATGTCTTATGGTCCTTAAAACTACTTTTCTACAGTTCTACAACCTGGTCTCGGTGACCGTTACACAGCCAAAAGGCCCAGTGTCATTGAAGGCGACTACAATAAAGAAGAAGAAGGGAGGTTCTATGGAGCTCCCGAACATTACGCTCTGCCAGTTCTTAAAGATGGCCAAGGAAGGGATTTGGTGATTCTGGTGGCCAGAATAAGCGGCTGTTAATCGTAATAGGCCAGAATTCAATTCATGTAAACATTAAACTCAAAACTGTACACATCTCTGTATCTTATTTGGATGTGAAGAATAAGTTCAAGTAATGGTGTAGTTGTACATTAGCTAATTGAAATTTGAACGCCTATCCCTACCTGGGGATTCTGTGTCTGTTAAGAATTAAGATTCAACTCTCTCTCTCTCTCTCTCAATTTCCATCAATCTAACATTCTAAATACTATATATGGGACAGAATTATTTGCGTTAATGAATGAGTTAATCATCATTAACTGATGTTTTAATCATTTTATAAGTGTTTTGCGTTCATGGAGATTTATGGGTGATTGCAATATTTTGAATCACAAGTAACAAAAAAGTTAACTCTCATAACGCACTTGGGGGAGTGACTAATGAAAAATCTGTCCCGTAACAAGATTGAAGCAAGTAGTGGCAGCTTGAAATTTTGACAACTTAATAATGAATTAATAAAAACAACACTAACAAAAATGATAGTATATAACAAAAATAATATCACGCCTTATTAACCTGGGCAAGATCTTAGAAGGCGAGAATGCATTATAGATTTGGATTTTATTCTAATTTGTCAACAAATTAGAACTTTAAATTTTGTCATTTATAAGAATGGACGAACTAATAATTAAATTTTTAGTCACTGAATTTTTAGTCTTTCTCAATTGAGTCCCTCAACTTGAAAGCGTGCTTCTATGTTGCCGCCCGTCAGCCATCTTAACAGAATGCTGGCAAGCGCGGAGAAGTCGATTCTTATGTCCAGACGAAAAAAGGAAAGAAAAAATGGGAAAACATGATTTTCATTTTTCACGACATGATTTTTACGAGACGATTTTCGGAGAGAACTGATATATCTGAGGGGGGCGGCCGCTAGTAGCCTCGTGGTTCGGAGGACTTGTTCTGTCCGCACTGTCCACAACCGGATGGGGAAGAAACTCGTCAAGTATGCTGTGGTACCCTCTCTCTCGCTCTCTCTCCATCGTACGTACATAGTGTGCTGTGGTTGGTGGTTGACTTCAGTTTCTGAGTCACTCGTGTAGGTGGACGCGTTCACCGGATCGCCGTTCAAGGGGAATCCTGCGGCGGTTTGTTTTCTGGAGGATGAGAGAGACGATCGGTGGTTGCAGGCCGTCGCGGCCGAGTTCAACCTCTCTGAGACCTGTTACTTGAGTCGGATCTCAGACTCCGAGTCGAACTCAGCTACAACCCCTCGCTTCCGGCTCAGATGGTTCACTCCTGTCGCAGAGGTAAGCTAATTGTGTGGCAACAGTTGATTTTTCTTGTCTATCCGTTCGGTTGATGAGATATTGCTGGAAAAGGGGGGAAAATGAAATTATGACGATGAATGTTTTTACCTTTCTTTTACTTATGCTTTTCGCATTCAAACCAGGCAATATTGAACAAAAATTACGTTCATTTGGCAATTTGGTAATAATTAGTTTTCTTTTGAATCTTATTTACTTTATTTCATATTATTACCTGTTTCGGTTATGGATTTAATCTTAGAACTATTAATAATTTATCGTGTTCGGCAATATCTGCCAGTTATATCTGAGGCGAGTTTGGAAGTCTGCCTATTTGGCTTTTTTAGGCTCATGCTTCCAGCTTTTTAATTTCAAAAGTTGCAAAAGCTAGAAGCTGAAAGTTTTACAATTTTTGGCTTTCTGATTTCAGTTTTTGAGTTAAAAATTCTGAAATAAAGTCAAAATTCAGGATTCCATAGCCTTTTGGCTTAATCTTAGAAGCCATAAAATCTTGGCTACTGGTTTTGTTGGGTTTTTAGGCTTAAAAGCCAAAACATAATGCTAACGAAGTCAGAGTAACGAACAACTGCTGAACAACATAATGCTGCTTGTAGGTTGATCTTTGTGGTCATGCAACTTTAGCAGCTGCACATTTTCTGTTCACATTTGGTTGGGTGAATGCCAATGCTATCGAGTTTCTGACGCTATCAGGTGTTTTGACTGCAAAAAGAGTTCCAGATGCAGAAGAATCAACTCCCTTGGGCTTGGAGAGTGGTGAAGCACAAGATGGCTTTACCTTTGAATTGGATTTTCCAGTAGTTCCGGTAACCGAATTTGACTCTGTTCAGGTTCCTTCAGTTTCTGAAGCCTTGAGTGGCGCTTCTGTTGTGGACATAAAGAAAACCACTGCTGGGGACCTATTTGTATGTATTCCTCTATCTAATACAGTCTTTACTAATTTGTTGTTCATAAGTACTAAATTTCATTTTTAAGCCAAATAGCTTGAAATGTTTTAGAAAGAAAGCAGAAAGAAGAATGAGGTGGAACTACTGTAATAAATTGAAGATTGGCTTGTGGTTATAGAATTGAATTGTGTGTCTGATATCATTACTAAGATTTCAAATGTGATTCTTGTACTATTTTGTGCGAATCTCCAAACTTGTGAGTGGCACAGTACCTCTCACTGGCAAAATTTACCTGTATTAACCGGTGGATAGTCATTTTTTTACTAATAGAAGGTTGATTGACTGCATTTTGGCAGGTTGTGCTTCCGTCAGGAAAAGATGTTGCAGATCTACAGCCCCAGTTTGATGAAATTGAAAAATGTCCTGGATCGGCAATACTTGTTACGGGGGTTGCTCCCCCTGGATCTGGATTTGACTTTTATAGTCGTTACTTTGCTCCAAAATTTGGGATCAAGGAGGTAATATATCAGCCTCTGTAAAATCTTTTGTTACTGAATTTATTTCTTTCATCCCTATACTTACCTTCTAGGCTTTTAATTAGGTGGGAAAAATAATTTACATTATGCAGAGGGACTGATGAAACAATGGAAAAAATTAACACGATTCAAGATGCACTGCTATCATTTGCTCTCATAATTTTTGAAACTTGCATGTAGTTGTATAGTGTAAAGACCAGAAACAGTTTTCAGGACGTGAGGGAGTTTTCAAACTTCAGACATTTTCTCTGGATCTTTGACCTACAAAACTTGCATAATTTTTGAAACTTGCATGTAGTTTGTAGTGTAAAGACCAGAAATAGTTTGCAGGATGTTAGGGAGTTTTCACACTTCAGACATTTTCTCTTGACCTTTGACCTACAAAGCTTGCGTTAAAAGCTAATTAGTTTTCTATATTGGTTGCCCCTTCTCTCTTGAGAACATACTGTTTTTTCTGCTGTTCTGTGCTGTGCCTTTCCCCTTGAATTTGATTTAATGCATGGGGACTGATTGAGAATCTTGCCCTTTTCCTGCTTAAGCTTCTGGTAAGGAGGTGACTGCTGCCTTCTTATCGGCTTTTTTCCTTTTAGCTTTGAAGGTTAGTTTTATTGTCTTGTGTTTGTTGGATTTCACGTTCTTCCGTGAATGGCCATTGTGACATGCTTACTAAAATCCTAGAACTCTCACAAGTTAGATGACTCTGTAATTTTTTAATTTCTCAGGATCCTGTTACTGGGAGTGCCCACTGTGCCCTAGCAGCCTATTGGTCCAAAAAGCTGGGAAAATGTGATTTTGTTGCATATCAAGTAATCTCTCTCTCTCTCTCTCTCTCTCTCTCTCTCATGTTTTCACATTGTTCATAAATTGTTGTTTAGTTGATGAACAACTTGATGCAGGCATCGGCTAGAGGAGGCATAATATACGTCCGTTTGGAAGAAAAGAGCCAGAGAGTACTGCTTCGTGGGAAAGCCGTCACTGTAATGGAAGGCTCTCTGTTGGTTTGATTCGGAATTAGACACCATGTCTTGCAGAACTAGAAATCAAATGGCTAAATATTTTCTTTTGTGGGGTGGAAACCCTTATGAGTTTACGAGTTTAATTGACACTTCCCAAGTTTTAGTGGATCCTATTCCTTGTATTAAGATGACATATTTCAGAATTGCATTTGAAAAATTTTCTAATATTATGTACTGCTTGGGAGTTGATGGGGTAAATCTTTCTGTGACCTTTCATTTATTGTTTATTTTTCATTTTTGGTTTGCTAACCAAGTTGAATGATATTCCCATGCCATACAAATCATCATTCATTTTATTAGTTGTGTCATGTGTGTATTAAAGATAACCACTGTTTTCGTTCTCGTAGGAAGAAGAAGAAGAGCCTCCATAGCTTTTTCTTTTCGAAGGAAGCTGTTTTCATATATTGATCACAGGGGGCAAAAAAAAAAAAAACTTCACTGTTAAAGTTTTCCAACTAATTATACAGTAAAACTTTCCAATTAATTATGCATAATTATCTCAGCCTCTAACTTAAGTGTCATTAATTATTATCTGTTTAGGGATGAGGAATTCAATGGGACCATGGGACTCGTGTTAAAATATCTCATTGGGCCACCTGCCATCCACGCTCATATATCTCGTTGGGCCAATACCCCGCCACAACCAATTCCAGAATATGAACATATGATACGGCCCACATCGTGAATTAATCATACGGCGTCGTCCCGTGTTGGCTCTTTGGCCCTAAAGCTAAACCCCGATCGCCTTCCCCCGAAGTTGTTCCTCGACCGTTCGCTGGCAAAGCCCTAGTGCCACTAGCGGGTCCTCTCCTTCTGCCAACAATGAAGCTTGTTAGGTTAATCCTTTTGATTATTTGTGCTACTACTCCTGTGGTTTGGTTGTGCTCTACGTGTTTATCACTTTGCTGAATGCTACTATGTAATTCTTTTATTAATTTTTGGATTTTCGTACGAGCAGGTTTTTGATGAAGCTGAACAACGAGACCGTCTCGATTGAGCTCAAGAATGGAACTGTTGTTCATGGCACCATAACAGGTATATCTCTTCTACCTGTTTCTCTCTACGTGGGTGTTTTTGAGGTGCTGATGTTGTTTGCTGAGCAAAGACGAGACAACCGATCTAAAGGAATTCAACTGTTACGGTTTTTTCTGGTTTTCTTGATAGTGTTCATTAGATCGGCTAATTGAGTAGCTGTGACTATCTAATGCTTGGCCTCTTCTTTCCACCGAATCTTGTATGATGAATGTTGTGAAAATTGGAACTCTTTCCTTCTAGCATTTGTTACTGGTTAATTCAATGGTTGACTGCATTGCTAAGAATGCACAAACATATGTTTATGATTACCTTATGGGTCCAACATTTTGGAACTGTTGCTTTCTTGGTTCAATCTGGAGGGCAGATTAAGTAGATTAATTGAACCAGAGGAAATATTCGCTGCTGTGCAGGAAATGGAGAAAAAATTGTTGTTACACAAATGGAGAAGAATTACATAGCTTTCCTGTCAAATTTCTAAGCTTAGGAGGAGAAGTAGAACTGAAATATACAATCCAACAGTTTTCTATTTTACCTGGAAAATATACAGAATGATGTGTTGCTCATCTGTATATTTACTTCCTTCTTCTATTTGTTCTTGAATCAAAACATAGGTTTATCTATACGGATTGTTCATGATGACCAATGATGTTTTTGAATGACTGAATTGCTTTAATGAAACTGCTATGCTAGATTTTCTTTTGGGAATGGTTCCCATTATGTCAATCTAACATAAGAGTTTAGTAGTACAATCTTCACCATCATTTACCTTAAGGCTTTTATTGGATATTTTTGGATTAACCAAGTTAACTTGATCCTTTTTACACATGATAGAGACATATTGGGAATATACCAAAATAATTTAGCAGGATATCCATGGACTGTGAGTACTTTTCTTTAATTCTTGCCTTTAATATGTTTTTTCCTGAAACTTTCAATTAATGAGCTTCAAAATGATGTAATGCTAGTGTTCTATGTGTCAAGCGATGTTTTCATTCACTTATCCATGAAAGGATAGAATTTCTGTAGATGAGCTTGATCATAATTGGGCTGCTTATCATGCTTTCTTTTCCCTGCTTGCAAATATTGTGATATTTATGTATTTCACGCATTTTGTTTGAGTCATTTGATGGGCGTTGTCTTTAGCGTGAAATTTCTAGATTATTGCCTAGAATAATCAAACACTAGCTTTTTGGCTGCATGAGCTCTGTGTTTTGACTGCTTGTGTTCCTGGATTGATATAGGTGTGGATATTAGTATGAACACGCATTTGAAGACTGTAAAGCTAACACTGAAGGGGAAGAATCCGGTGACCCTGGATCACCTCAGTGTGAGGGGTAACAGTATACGGTACTATATCTTGCCTGATAGCTTGAATCTTGAGACATTGTTGGTGGAAGAGACGCCAAGGGTCAAGCCCAAGAAGCCAACTACAGGTGCCAACATGCGTGTGTATTTAGTTCTATGTATTTTGGTTTGAGTTCCACTTTTCCTTATTTTCTGCTGCATTAATCTCATTTACATGCCTTTTTCCCCTTGGTTCAGGGAAACCTTTGGGACGAGGCAGAGGCCGTGGCCGTGGACGTGGACGTGGCAGAGGTCGTTAGACTTGCTACTTTGTTGCAATTTTTGGGCATCTTTTTTTCTGAAAACCTGTATTACGTGAGTGGGTTTCTTATGACCATCATTGTCATTTACCTGAGACTTCCTTTAAAGTATATGGATCTTTTGAGCCTATGAAGAATGTTTGGTTTATCTAATAGTTGCATTACAAAGATTTAGAGAATTTGCCTTTAAGCTTTTATATTTAGTTTATTTACGATAAAGGGTTTTTGTTTCCTCTCCATTTTACCGCTCCGTGTAAATGTGGTAGAATCCATAGTTGATGGTAGGGAGCATCGTTTCTTTGTCTTTCTTTTTTTCTTTTTAAGTAAAAAAAAAAAAAAACTCTTTTCCTTTTTGAATGAGCTAGTGACAATTAACGTAAATGCTAGTTGCGTGAAAGATGTGAAAGTTATGTTGATGGTAGCCGCGTTCGGAAGCAGACGACAAGGATTGATTATCACAAACATGTGACTACCGTAACACAAGTAGCTGAAAACGATATGAAACGAAACTCTAGTGCAGAAAATAAGTTGGAGCAAGGTAAATTTGGAGAGCGTGCCCCATCTGTGTTTGCAAACATTGTAGCGTCTTATATTTTAAAATTTTCAAAATAAAATTGAAATTTTGAACGATAATACTATCCAGCTCGATTTAGATATTTTAAACGACTCTCTTCATTTTTTCTGTAAACAGTGTTTAGAACCTGAGCTTTTTTAAAGAAAAGAATAATAATATAGTACAATATCAAAATTTTCGTTAATTTTTGGTTGATAACAAATATGAGTTATAAGTTGCTGAAAAATAAGGCTATGTTGAAAATATGTATTTTTGAGTTTTTCTTTTAAAAAAATTTAGTTAAATTGTATGACAATAAAGTGTTGTGACGCTTGGGCAGTCTAAGGCTACTCAAGATCCAAAACTAACTCAAACATTTGTGCAGCATAGTAGCAAGTCAACCACTCTCACACATAATACAAAAGAGGGCAATACTCCTAGTCTAGTCTTAGCACTCCTAAGCTCACTTTCTCACTCTCACTAAACTCTTAGGAAGATGTTCTCAAATGTCTTACTCAATTCACTCTCAAACACTCAAAGAAACTTGAGAGAGAGAGGAACACATTTTTAGAGAGAGAAAGTACAAGACACTTTTTATTACTCTCAAACTTGGATGATTATAAATGGGAAGGGGGACCCTTTATTTATAGGCAATAGGAATGACAATTCTATAATTTTCAAGAATTTCTGGAGAGTTCATGCGCGTCCTGGAAGGGGCGAGCCGCGTGACGTGCTGTGCAGCACGTGCCGTGTGCCTCACGCACCTGGCACACCCAGTCACCTCCTTGGCGAGGGTTCAGCGTGTGCCATACTTGAGCTTGGTGTGTGTCCATCCTAGGTGTCATCCTTGTTGGCATTACCACATCATCAACTTTGTCTCTGTCATCTGACATGTTATCTGCCACATTAGCAAGGGTTTCTAGACCCTTCCATGCTTGGGACAAGATTGGGGATCGTGGTGTGCTTGGTAATTTTGTCTTGGCCCCGACCCATCCTAACTGTTGTTGTTGGTCCTTTAATGATCTCGGACATATGCTTGACTTGCCTTGGTGACAAAAGCACAAGGCTATCGAACGGGGGGTAAGAGCGAACGAGGTTAAGGGTGGGGTTAGATTAGTCCCATTCAAACCCTTTCCAATTCTCTTTTAAAGAAGGCATTAGATGCTTTTGTATATTGGTTAGAATTTTTTAGGAAAATTTCGCACCCAGTTAAGTTGATGGGATTAATTACCCGGAAGCTCAAAACATGCAATAATGACCCAAAAAGTTTTGAAGAAAAATATTTACTATGACGGATTTCTCGCTTCCTAAAATATCCCCACCCCATTGCTATGAATTTCAGCAATCTACCATGTCTGCAATCCCCTCCTTTTCCTGACTGCCTTCAAACTTGTAGCTCACCTCCCGCCTCTAACCCCTACCGAACCTCCCCCCACCCATGAAGCTCAATTGCCCTTTCCTTGCAAACCTTCCAACTTGCGACCCTCGTCGCTCCCTCGCAACCTAGATCCCCTATCCCCTTCCCAACACACTCACACACATTCTCTCTCTCTCTCTCTCTCTCGCCAAGTTCAGTTTGACATTTCTAAGTTTCAACATTGTTATTTCATTGTTGAACTGTTTATTACAAATTTTGTACAAACTAGCATAGTTATAAAAATCTTTTTATTTAGTTATAAGTACCATCCTATAAAATTGTAAGCTCAATTTTGTAAATATTCATGTGTTTGTTTCTTACATGTATATATATGTTTACTCCTATATTTGTTGGACTACTATCTCGATGTGAAGAAGTTGTATGTTATGTATCAAATATATTTTTATAGTTATTAGCACAATTTTTGACTACATTTCCAGTTACAAAGCATCTTCATGCTTAATTATGAATATCATCCTGTAAAATTACAGGCACAATACTATGAATTTACAAATATCTGTAAATTTACAAACACAATACTGTAAAATTACAAGTATCTATAAAGAATACGCAAAAAAAACAGTTCAACTGACAATACTGAAATCCATGATTGTTGAATTAGAATCGGCAAGAGAGCGAAAGGGAGCTAACCTAAAACAAAAAAGAGCAAGAGAATCAAACTGGACAAGGTATGTGTGTGTGTGTGTGTAGAGAGAGAGAGAGAGAGAGAGAGAGAGAGAGATGGGGGGGTTTGCAAGGAAGGAGTGGTCCAGGTTGACAAGTAGGGAAGGGGCGACAAGGTTAGCGTCAGGAGGTGGGTTACAAGTTTGTGGACAATTAAAGGGAAGGGGGGGTCGTAGATATAGTGGAAGTGCGGAGATTCGTAAGAACTGGATAATATTATTTTAGAAAATGAAAAGTTTCATAATAAATATTTTTCTTAAAATCTTCTGAATCATTATTATATATTCTGACTTTCGAGTAATTTTTTCTCATAAATTGACTGACTTAGTAACTTTTCCAATTTTTTTCTTTTTGAAGCGATTGTTGGGTTCTTGAATATAATATGCTCACTCGTGTTCCTAAAAGAAAATTCCAATTCTAGTACTTCATAGTAGATATTGATGAAGAGAAATACTCGACTTGGTTTGACCAAACTTCACATTGATCTATTTATATTATGATTGTAAAATTTAAAATTAATGGGGAAATAGAGAAGTTAGATGTAAAGTAGAGAGTGTTGGTATTAAAATATTTGCAAGTTTCAAATTTCTTTTTTTTAAAAAAAATTTTGTGAGAGTATACAAAATGTTAATTCTTTGAAAGAGTTTTGTAACCATACTTGTGGTAAACCCACTCTTTCAAGTTAATATTCCTACTTCCAATTACTTTTTTAGTATGAAAATTAAAAAGCAATTTAAGACCTTAATCATGATATTCCTTTTCTCCCACTTCACTCGTAGAAACTTACTATTCTTGTAAAACAAAGACATTTCCTTAACTCAAAATAATTGAGAAGAGAAAATGTTCTTTTTTGAGGCCTCTTTAGATAAAAATATGATTTTTTTTTATACAGTGAGAATCAAATTTTTAAGATGAAATTTCGATTTTACGAATAAGTTAAATGCCCTCCAAATCACCTTTACATAATCTCCATTACTTCTGGGGCAAGATTAAATTATTTTAGAGCAAAATATATTATTAAGATAAAAAATAGTGTAAGGTGTAATGGCAAGTGCAACCAGAGGTGCTGACGTCCCTTTCATCCTCATTAGGTCACCTAGAGCTGTTCCCCGGCCTTTTGGTCTTAAATAAAGCTCTAAACCCAAATAATTTCCCCCCCATCAACCACATGTACTAAATTCAATTTAGGTAGGTTTGTTTTGTTACTATCTAAACTCTGGAGTCTTCTTCTCTAGGGAAGTTGACCTATTTACATCATAAATCCAGATTTTAAAAATTGGCTCTTCTGGGCCGAATTGGTTGCATTGTTACCGTCTGATTGGAATGGACCACCATAAATCCCTCTGATTTTTTTTTTTTTTTTTTTGGGTTTTGTTGTTCTCTTTTCTTAAAAAAATAAGAAAATGGTCCACCCTTTTCAATGAAATTGAATAGATGTGAGCAAAGTGGTGGTTGAGTTGGTAATATATCCAAATCATAGGGGCTCATGTGGAGTTTTCGTCTGGCGCGGGCAAAGGAAAAGGTCTAGTCTAGTCCCACAACCAGGGATTTTCACATGCTGCAGCAGAAAGTACGAAGATCCAATTCTATTTTTGTAATATCAAAAAATTTAAAATCTTAGAACAAAAATAATAAAAATTAAAGTTTTAGGTTAAAAAAATAAAAATTAATTAAAATTTATTTTATTTTTTGATAATAAGAAAAAATTATTTATCTCAGCATATAAAACACTCTTTAAAAAAATTAATAAAAGAAAGAATGCTCTCTATCCTAAATCACTTTATAAATTAATCATTTTTCTTATAGCCATTTATTACAAGTTTATTTATTTATTTATCTTAAATCAGTGAAAATATATCATGTAAATATAAATATTTAATAAGTGAGGATCAAGTATTAATTTCAAATTAATTATTTTATATGTACTTTTATAAAAGACAAAAAAATTTAATAACAATTTTAAAGTACTACTAAAAATTTAATTAAAACTGGTTTAATTCCGTGATAAACTAATCTCATTTAGACTTTAAAATTTTTAGACCGAACTAATTTCATTTAATTCAAAATCTAATGAAAATCGAAACTATCCAAACCGGGCGTACTCTCTCAATTTATGGATATGACTGTTCAAAAATGTTGGCAGTTGGTACAGCTAAGTGGGCATTCAATTATGACCAACCACTTCAATAATTATATGGTAGTTAACAAGGGACTGTTTGTTTGTGTCTCAAAATAAAAAAATAAATAAAAAAAGAGAAGTGTTTTTATTTATCTATATTTTGCAGGAATGTGAAGGAATTCGTTCATTTTCTTTTATTTTCTTTTCTTTTGAGGCTTTTTTGCACC